ACAAAGAAACCTCAGATCGACAGCAATAAGAGCAACAACTACCGTATTGTAAAGGAGGTCAGTAGATATAAAATATTTTTATATAGATTTATGTTTGCGTGCCACGTAATTTTTGCTTATATTTCATATTTAATATTGTTATTTGTTATATTGAATCTTTTCTTTTTCTTCTAAAAGATTTTGATTAGGCTAAGTAAACTTTGTGTGCAGAATAAAAAGTGTCGGAATCAACATCAACGATTACTGAAAAATATGGGGGCTCATTCGGTGGTGTTGGATCTTCTGCAGATACCCTATGAAAAGGTTAGCCCTTAGTTAACTTTTTTCTTTAACTTTTAATTTTGGTACAATTTCAAATGTTTAGCAAAGTTAGCAAGAATTTTTTCTCCCTTAATTATTTGGGAATAATTCACCCTCCTGATGCCCCATCACCCCTGAGCCCTTCAGTGGTATTTCCTACAAACACAAGCTCACTTCTGCACAGCCACACCACAGCCTTCAAGAGCATGACACTCTACTGCCCCTCATCCCTGCAAACTATTCACGCTTCTCCCATTGCCCTAATTGTGTCCTGTTTCACTAGAGGAGGAAGGAGTGAGGGCAGAGCAGGAGGAAAAGGGGGTGAGAGCAGGAGAGAAGAAGGAATGAAAGGAAAAGACATTGGGAGAAATAGGAAGGAAGAAGTATGAGAATGAGGGATGGATAAGGTGGGGGAAAGGGAGAAAAAAAGGAAAAAAGAGACAGAAAAAGCCAGATATGTAGACACACTGGGAAAGGGAGGGCATTTTTGGGATAGGAAGAATTAGAGGGCCAGGAGGGTACAGCAGAGAGGGGAGAAGGAGCGAGAGGAGGGGACAGAGAGAGGGGAATGCAGCACCGGGAGGTGGGGGGTAGGGCAAGGGAGGGAGAGGTGGCGCTGTGCAGAGATGAGTAACATGGTGGACGGTCAGAAAGGGGAGTAAAAACAGTGAGGCAGGGAGAAAAATAGTTCATACGTGAAAAGACATATTTTTGGTAACACTTCACTCTCCTGTATTTGTTTCTCTGCATCATGTGCTACTCTTTAAATTACAGAATGATGAAAAGATGAATGAAGTAATGAATCTAGCCCATACGTTCCTGCAGAATTTCTGTCGAGGAAATCCACAGAATCAAGTTCTTCTTCATAAACATCTGAATTTGTTTTTAACTCCAGGTGTAAGTATTTTAGTGACTTCTAATATTTATAGTTAAGTGTGCATCAAATTTGTTTTAGTAACATTAATGAATATAATTTTATTAATTTTCATCAGCTCATTTTTTCCTTGTGGGGATTCTCTCCCTAAAAGCAAATATCTTATATTTCCATTAAGGAAACTTTTAAAGAAACTTGAAAAATCACATGAATTATACATACAAATGATGACTTCATTTATATGTATATAGTTTAATGTCAGGAAAAAGATATGGTAGAACAAGGGACTAATTCTACAATACCATGACTAAGATAAATATTGAAAACTCAAAGATGGAGTTTGCCCTAGTCTGTAAAATGTGTTTGAGTGGATTTGAGGGAAGAGCTAACTTTGAATTTTAAATCAATCTCAGGAATACTGTTGCCAACATCATGCACTTTATGATAATAAGCTCCTTTCTCCAACTAAATTCCTTTGTTAGTTCAGTTTTCCTTTAGTAGTTAATGATCTCATTGCATTTCATAAAATACTTGCACAGAAAATTCACTATGGCTTCATATAAAACTGATCAGAAGAAGGGAAATTAGGCTAAATACTATAGAATAGAAAATTGATCTTGTCAGAATTACAAGGGCACGTTCTTCTGTGTTTAGCTCCTTGAAGCAGAAACCATGCGACACATCTTCATGAACAATTACCATCTGTGCAATGAAATTAGTGAGAGAGTTGTGCAGCATTTTGTGCACTGTATCGAGACACATGGCCGCCACGTGGAGTACCTGAGGTTTTTGCAAACGATTGTCAAAGCAGATGGCAAATATGTGAAGAAATGCCAGGATATGGTAATGACAGAGGTATGTTCTCAGTTTGCATTTTATTAGCTTCATATAAACAATATGCATTTTCTGTTAATTTAGAGTGAAAACAACCCCAACAACATAGGTTTGGAAAATAATTTAATCATAACTACTTAAGAACAAATACATTTTGCTTTAATCTAGTGAAGCAACATGTCTTAAATTGGTTTTATGATTTTCTGAGAGCTGACTTTTCTTTTATATCCATAATGAATTCATGTATTTTAAATAATGGGTAAAATCCTATGAAATGTTATAGATTATTTGGAATTTTGGAATGAAAGTGACAAAATTTTATATCTTTAAGTTTCCGATAATATAACAAAGACAGACGAACTCTGTCTTTCTAGTACCTTTGTTGCTCTGTTTGTGAAATACAGAATGGGTGTCTCTGCCACTGTTTGTAGAATGCTTTAAAGAGAATCAAACTAGTTAGTAAAAACTACTCATCAGTGATTTATTGTAGTATGTGGAAACTTGCTATTTAAAATAAGTTAATAATTGAAGAAAAATGAATGGATGAAATCATTTTGATGTTTGATATCGAATGACATTTATGTAATAAGTTACTAGGAACCAAGTGTCATATGTTGAAGAACTGGCAGCTCAAAGAGCCTGTTTGGGTAAATCATTGCTCTGTGATCTAATGGTTCTCTAGTGGCCCCTACGGATTATCCATTCATGGCTTCCAATCAGTTACGTGGAGATTATATTGGTTTGGGGGAATGTTCGTATATATATATACCTTAAATTTGGGCATGGGGAGGTTTTCATGTTGGTTTAATGTGAGTTCCTCCTGCCACATAGAAATCTTAAACTTAATTTAGCTTAAACCTTTGAATTGTTAAATGTAAAATATTGTTATTAAACATTTTAAGGAAAAGTTTAAACTTGTAACATTTACCTTTTTCTTATCTACATTTACATTCACATTAGTTCTTCATTGCCTATAGATGTGGGAACTAATTTGATTTTGTGTTATGATCACCAAGGAAAGAATTAGAATGGGAAAGCAGCCCATATGTAAGCCAGTCCTGTGACACTTACCAGGTGAAGTGTTTCTACGTGTAAAGAAGTATTTGTAATATTATATTATGTTAATATATGATCCATATTTTTGATACATATGCATTCTCTTTCAACACAAATTTCAAAGTAAGCCAATTAATTGGCTTATCAATTTAAATGTTATCAATTTAAATATAATAAATAGAGAAAAAATTGTAGATCCTTTGTTACCCACCAAATATCTCACTGTGATTAGAAAATTGATACTGATAATAGATGGACAATAATACATTATAGAATTTGAACAGTAAAATTACCACCTGCTGGAATTCTCCACTAAAATTGTATAAACAAAATATCGATGAAAATTTATGTTCTAAAAGCTCTTACCTATTCATTTCTTTGTGTCTCCCATTTTAAAGTCCTCTTTTTCGCCTTATTTCTCCCATCTATGATTTTATCTTTATTCTCTGCTGATGCTTTCCCATGACGCATGGAATTTTCCAGATTTTTATAGAGTTGTGTTTGGCTCAATGTACTTGCTTACTTATTCAGTCACTATTGAAGTGTATGGGGACTTTTATTATGGCTTTGGTAAAATTATAAGATTTCTCATGCTTTCGTGGTAGAGGTCTTCCTTTGAAGTGGAGGGAAATAACTTTATTCTTTTCCAGGTTTAATTTCAATGTAACTCACTGATGAACAATTTACTATCATCTATGTCATTTAATTCTTGCCCCATCTGCTGCTCCCATATCTCCCCGACTGGTTTTGACAGCATTCATAACTGATCCCTTGGCATATGACGATAATCTTTTCACCACCCTGCCTTGGCATAGCTCTGCTTTCACAATATTTTCTATGTTTATGCAAAGAGATACATGTGTTTTCAGATAGATCAAGCCTTTGGAAACAATTGCAAGGATGAACATTTGGACTGCTATGTAGACTCTCTTATTATCATTTCAGTTGATTAATGGGGGTGAAGATGTGCTGATATTTTACAATGATAGAGCATCATTTCCAATCCTTCTCCATATGATGTGTTCAGAGAGAGACCGAGGGGATGAGAGTGGCCCCTTGGCTTACCACATCACCCTGGTGGAGTTGCTGGCAGCATGCACAGAGGGGAAAAATGTCTATACTGAAATCAAGTGTAATTCCCTTTTGCCCCTGGACGACATAGTGAGGGTGGTGACCCACGATGACTGCATCCCTGAGGTAAGCCTGGCAAACGCTTAGCAGCTGTAGAATCATTATTAATTTTTAAAGTTTATGTAAGTCCAGAAGTCTCCGATACTAATAAGATCATATATTTAGTCAAGGAATTGTACTTAGCTGTACAGTGTGGAAAATTTTAAAAGAGCATAAAAAGGTCTACTTTTTAATAAGATGTTCTGAAAGGAGTTATGAAAGAGATAAACCTTTTTAAACTATAACCACTGTTTAGTGGAAGCTACTATACAAGTCTTGTAAATTGTAAATGTGGCAGTGACTAAACAGAAAGGTTTATGTGTAATGTCTAGTGTGTTTTTGAGCATAAAGCAGGTGCTTGATAAATGATTCATAATCATTGATTGGAGAGGCTAGAATAGTGCTGTTGCAGGACCACTATTGTTATTATTAAATAATAGAATCTGCAGGTTTAACTGGCTATGTGGAATAGATGCAGTTTTGAAGATGTGCACACACATTTTGCTTTATTCACACATCATCTTCGGTCCTTTGTCCTAGTTTGCCTCTGATGATAGAAAAAAACTCAGTAGAAGCTGGTTGTCTGCCAGTAGGTTTCTATTCATGAGGCTTCCAGAAATGTACATTGCAATAATTCCTTTCTTTTCCACTGTTGTAGTGTATTGTTGCAAAGTGCATAAATGTGTGACAGTATGCTGAAAATGATATAAAACCAAACATTTAATCACAGTCACTTAAAAAGGTGTCAGATGATGTTTACTTCCCGACTTGCAAATAGTCTTATGTAGTGGTGGACTTGAAAGTATATTTTTGTGAAATTTTGTGGAATTGTTGATACCTCAACTCAAGGGTACTTCATGTCTTGATTGGTTTGAAATAAAATGGCAAAGAGAGGAAGTATAGTGCCATGGTGAAATTCACGGGTTCTGTCCTTATTTGAGGTCCTGGTCCTGGCCATGTGTTTTCCTACTTGCAGTTCCTGCTGACTACACCACTCTTGCCTCTTATATTCACCTAAGTGGCTCCTCTTCATCCTTCAGATCTTGATTCAAGCCTTTCTTCTTCCGGGAAGACTTCCCTGGCCTCCTTTAGAAAATGTGTCGGAGTCTATAATTTGAAATTTCAACTTTATTAGTTAACAGATATCTGTTGCCCAAAATTATATGCTCTATGAGGGTAATAACTGGGTCTGTTTCTATTCACTGTTATCTTATATGAGCTGGAGCCTACACTCAATAAATAGGATTTGAATGAATGAACAAATGAATTAAAGAATGAGTCAGAATCTTGGATCCATATCTTCCTAGTTGTGTAACTGACTCCAGCAGGTTTCTTAATCTTTCTAATCTTCAATTTCCACAATTTTAAAGTGAAATAATTATCGTGTGTACCTGATAGGATAGCTGGAGGATTAAATGAACTAAGATAACACATACTGAAGGCTGAGGTGTTTGGCATGTAGCAAACACTGAGTGAAGCCAGCTGCTTTCAGGATGGTTGTGATAGTGCACTGAAAGGCTCACATTCTCCCCACCCTGTGCCCATCCTGACACAGGCAATCTGCCATGGATGGTTTGGTTAGACCTCAGTCAAGCACAGGGAATCACTTGGGTGTGGAAGCTGGTCCTGCATTCCTTGTGAGTCTGATTTGCATTCCATGAATCCCCTAAAATTGTTCACTTGATTTTTTTATGTATATGCATTTTTTCTGGGGAGATTTATAGCATTCATCAGATTGTTATAATGAAAGAAACAAAAATGCAAATAAAAAAACTACTGTCATATATTTTAGAAATGCCATATTTCTTTTTTTTTTTTTTTTTATTTCAGCAAATTATGGGTGTACATATGTTTAGGTTACGTGTGTTGCCCTTGGTTCCCCCCCCACCGAAGTCCGTGTTTCAAATATGTCCATCCTTCGGGTAGTGCGCATTGCACTCCTTGTGTATACAAATACCCGTCCCCTTCGGTGGGGGGGGAACCGAGGGAGAAGGGGAAATGCCATATTTCTATCATTTATCCTTTATCATATTAATCCTTTATGAGGAATTTTGTTAATTCTGGAAAGGAATCTTACTACATCTTAAAATAATACAATTTTTTTAGCGTGTAGACTATGACCTTGTTTCTTCTCAGAAGAAGAAATCTAAATATTTTTTAAATGGCAATGAAATATTATTTAGTCAACATATTTAAATTCTCATAAACAGTTGGTGGGACTATAAACTAGTACAGCCACTATGGAGAACAGAATGAAGGTTTCTCAAAAAACTACAAATGGAACTGCTATATGATCTAGCAATCCCACTACTGTGAATGTATCCAAAGAATGGAAATCAGTATATTGAAGAGACATCTGCACTCTCATGTTTATTGCAGCAATATGGGATGAACCTAGGTGTCCAACAACAGATGAATGAATAAAGAAAATGTGGTATATGTAGACAATGGAATACTATTCATCCATAAAAAACAATGAAATCTTGTCATTTGCAGCATCATGGAGGGAATTGGAGGACATTATGTAAAGTGAAATAAGCCAGGAATAGAAAGTTAAACACACATGTTCTCACTCACTTGCAGAAGCTAAACAAAGTTGATCTCATAGAAGGAAAAAGTAGTACAGAGGATACTAGAGGCTGGGAAGGGGTAGGGGGAGAGAAGGATAGAGAGAGATTTGTTAAAGGATGCAAAATTACAGGTAGTTCAGAGGAATAAGTTCTAGTGCTCTATACCACTGTAGGATAACTATAGTTAGCAATAATATATTATTAAGTTTCAAATAACTAGAAGGAGAATATTGAATGTTCCCAATACAAAGAAATGATAAATGTTTGAGATGATAGATATGCTAGTTACCTTGGTCTGATTACTATACATTATATGTAATCAAATCACTGTTTCCTACCAATATGTATAATTATTTGTGTCAATTAAAAAATTTAACAATACTAACTTTATATTAGGAATCTCTTGGTTACAACTGACAGAACCCTGACTTAAACTAGTTTAAACAAAAAAGGGAATTTTATTGGCTCCTGTACTTGGGAATTGGAAGGATGGTTGTTCAGATGGATCCAGAGGTTCAGACAATGTCAGAATTCTTTCCATCTCTTGTCCCTTTTTCTTTCATCCTTCTGCCTCATTCTCTGCTTCTGGGCATAATTTTCCTCCACATACCTGGAGAAGATGGTTTCTTGAAGTTCAGGTTTACCTTTTGTTTCATTTTAGACATGAGAGAAAAAAGAAAGAGAAGAAAAAGGAGGAAAAGGAAGAGGAGGAGGAAGGGGAGGGGAGAGAGAGAAAGAAAGAGAGAGGGAGAGTTAGAGGGAGGGCTTTTGACTCCTAATGTCTCAAATATGACAGGCTTGGTTTGAGTGAAGTGCCTGTCTCACACCCATCACTGGACCCGGGGGGATGGAGGGCTAGGCCGTGTGTTCACCACTGGGTCAGTGGGGTATCTTAGCTAAACAAGGGAAATGGGAATGCTTTCTGGGTAGACACGAAACATGCTATAATCTACTGTAGGAACTAACACAGATTTTATATTGTCCTTTCATAATTGATACTTGAGAGTGAACAATAAAGAAAACTTAACTTCCTTTTGTATTTGAAACTTGCACAGGTTAAAATTGCTTATGTGAACTTTGTTAATCATTGTTACGTTGACACGGAAGTGGAGATGAAAGAAATCTATACAAGTAATCACATATGGAAATTATTTGAGAACTTCTTGGTGGATATGGCAAGGGTAAGTTACGCTTTGACCATTAAATACTATTTCACGTTTAGTAAAGGTCATCAACATATATTTTGACTTAATAGTATTGAGCATCTGGATGAAAACTTGCAGTTAAACCCACTCCTTTTGATTTAATTTGTCACATTCATAAAGTTGTGACTGAGTTTCACAAGATTGTGAGTGAGATTTAATGAGTTTATATACACAAAATATTTATACCTAGTACAGGCTAGGTACAGGCTATATAGCAACAGATAAAGTATTCATTTTCACCTTTACAGCCGACTATATTTGTCCGTTACTAAATGGAATCTCAGTGGCCTTTTTACATTGGTTAGAGAAGACATTTGGCAGAGATCAATTACAAACCACAGATGAAAGAGACCTCAAGAGGTCTTAACCACTGCTCTCAGGGCAGATGGATACTTGACGGACCACTCAGGACTTAGCATTGCCCACTCTTGCCTATTCAAAGTCTTGCCTGGAAACATGCTCCAGTAATTTAATCATCTGGCGTTTCCGTCATGTCAGCCAAGTTATATTCTGCTTTTTCTTTGAGTCCATTTCCTCTTGTTTGTTTTGTTGGGACGGGGGCGGGGATTGGTGAGAACATGTGGAGCTGGTTGGCATTTTCTAGATACTTCCCGCATATGTTTTTGCTCTCTTGATATTGAGTAAATGAATAAATGAAGAAAGAAAAGAAGGAATCTTCTTGACAGATAACAATTTTCTTTAGCACGTCTTAGCCTTTTCTTTTGTATACTAAGTTATCATAATGTCTAAGGTCTATTATTCTCATCTTTTTTTCTTTGTAATCTTCTCTAGTTTTCCCGTTAAAGTTATGGGACATGATGTTCAAATAAGGGTTTCAGTAATAGAAGATGGTGTATATAGATCATTCCTTAGACCTATTATGAGTTGTGGTGGCCTGTCCCAGTCCCTTTGGCCTTCCTGCATTCCTTAGTGCTGGTGGCTTTATGTAGGCCACATGTAGATGGATTTGGAAGAGAGGGATTAGTGAAGTCTGTATTTCCACGATCTGGCAAGGATGGATGCTGTTATTTGTTAGCTCACGCCTCCCTACACCATTTTCTGAAAGGACAGACAACAAAATATATGTAATAAAACATTGACTACAGACAAAGACATCTGAGAGCACCCTTGTACAATATAATGAATCATGTTTTATTCCAGACCAGGAACTCTTTTTATTTAGTCAAGGTTTCCAGGTGAAATGTGCTTATTTTACTTTTAGTGTGGTATAGTGTGTAAAGTAAGGTCGTTCCTGTTTTACTTCATTTCCATATAACTAAAAGCCACTTGCTACCTTTCTTAGGTAAATCTGCACCTGTAGAGAAACTATTGTGTTTTATACAGCATTTAATGTAGCATACATATTTACCCCCTTGACCTTGAGATAACCTTATATCTGGCCAGCTAGAAGTACTAGAGACCTTGAACTACAGGAAGGCTTACATGCCAATGACTGAGCTTTAAAATTGCACGTGCAGGAAGATATTAAAGAGATTACAGACTGATTTGCAGAGTTGCACAGGGCTACTGACTAAAGATAAGCTTGAAAAAGACCAAGGTCACATTCTAGGCAGCATAAGCTGTAAAGCTGAAAGGATTTTTATTTTTTAAGCTAAGGAAAGCTGATGATAACTGTCATTGCTTATACCACCTTGGAAACACTCTTCCCATTGATGTATTCACCAGGCAAATGTATACAAATTTATATTCTTTTTTAAAAAAGTACACATGTAGGAAGGATTTTTATTTTAACTATTTTTAATATGTATATAATTAATTTTATATGTAATTAATATGTATATAATATAATTTTTAATATATATATAATATGTATATAAAGGCTCTAGGGAAATTTTAAGATCTTGGTCTATTCACTCTTTGTGTCCAACCACAACTGCTTAGCTATATCACAAAGGTAGTTATTTCCTTTTTGTTTCCCTCTTAGTTGTATTTTAAAGCAGCAGCTCTCTAATCCCTTCACGAGCTTGGACAGGAAATCACCGTTCTTCCTGTTTCAGGGGAGAAAAAGGAAACCTGACTTTCCTGTATCTGGGATTTCTCTTTCTCCCCATGAAGAAAGATTAAGGAGCTACCAGAAAGTTTCAAATTCAAGTTACAAAAATAAATATGGTTAAATGAGTAGAGTGTGGTCTTCTGGGCAAATTTTCAGTTCAGCAGAGCAGTAGTTTTCAAACTTTAGTGAACATCAGAATTGGGCTTGTTAAAACACAGATTGCTGGGGCCTGTCCACAGAGTTCTGATTCAGTGCATGTGAGACTTTGCATTTTTAACAAGTTCCCAGGTGATGCTGCAGCTACTGGTCCAGGGACTACACTCCGAGAATCGCTGTAGTAGATCACGGTGGTTAAGAGTAGGGATGTCACAGGAGTTAGCCAGGTCAGAGTTCAAGTCCAGATTCTGCCTCTCACTAGCTCAGTTATCTTGGGCGAGGTACCAAACCCCTTGGAACCTGAGTTTCTTTATTTGTAAAATGAATACAATATTAACACATTCCTCCTTGGGTTACTGGGAGGATCCAATGAGATAATGGATATCAACCTTTTAGCACATACTAACAGCTATTAAAGAGTTGGTAACATCATTCACATCATTGTCCCCAGGATTATTACAAGGTTATATGTATCCTTGTAAGTAATATTGAGAAGCTTCCCTAAAACCTATAGCAAAGAATGGATTAATATAACCAAAAGGAAGACTATCCAGCATAGGCAAGAGCTGGAGCCATGTCTGTGAAGCTGGACATACACAACAGTAGTTGACATAAATAGCCAGCCACCTATGAGATGAAGCAAACTCAGATGTTCCAACAAAACTATGAAATCCTGGAACAGTTGACTTATATCATTAAGAAATGGTAAAGGTAATCTATCTGGAGGAAAGGAATTTGATAAGTTAGACCTAAAGAATCACAGCATCTTAGGGTTGGAAGAGACTAACAGTGAACTTTATATCCAGTTCATAGTCTTCAACACCTACTCGGATATTTCCGTTAACAATGATCTTATTACTTTTTGAGACAATTAATTTCATTATTGCACAACTTCAATTGTTAAAAGCTCTATATATTGAGCCAAATTTTTACTTACCATAATTTTTACCTATAGTAAATTTTTACCCATAGTTCTTCTTTCTGCAACAACACATAACAATTCAGCTAAACAAAGATGTGGGTATTTACTATAAACACCTCTTCGCTATTTTCCTCACTAGTGATCCACTTTGAAATGATAAAATTATACAACCTAAAGGAACTTAAGGTCATCTCGTTTGGCCTCATAATCTTGCCTGTGGGCTCCAGAGAGATGATTTGCTGGGTGACTCTCCTAGCTAGTTCCCGAGTGGAAAGTTTGCGCAACCTAATCCAGTACTTTTTTCTCCGACAGCTTCCCAAATATTTTATGATAGTCCTCACGTCTCCCATTATTTTCTCCACGTGGTTCCTTTTCTGATATGGTTTCTGGGATCCTTGTTTCAGCATACTTTTGGGTTCCCTGTGGTTTGTCCGTGTTTCCGTTTGAAGACGTGGCATTCAGGATGGAACCCAGTACTTCAGGCAGGGTCGGCCAGCACAATTTTATTTTAGTAGAAATTTGGAGAACAATTTTGTTTAAAAGGCAAATGAAATATTAATATGTATTGGCACTCACATGACCTTCCACCTTTCTGCTCATGTTTTTCTGGAGTCAGCACTGCCAAAATGTTTTTTGTTTGTTCTTGAATAAAGTCACCTTTATTAGTATCTTTCATTTTCCCGTTTGCCTTCCCCCTTGTCTTTTATCTTGTTAAGACCAATATAGGAAAATCTTTCCTAAAAGATTGTTTTTAGTAAACTGGTGTGTATCTATATATATCTCTCTATATATCTCTATCTATCTATCTATGTATCTATCTATAGTTTCACATACTTATTCCATTCTGATTTCCTGACAGAGAGAGTATCCATGTCCCATAAGTACCCCAGATCTAGACAGGCAGCAAAGCTATTAGATCCATGAAAAGTTGTTACACTGACTTAGAGCATTTAACAACAGCCCACTTTGATCTATGTTCCAATGCAGCTATTAGAAAATTGGTGTTTGTAGGGCAGAAATGCCCTTCTTTGGCTTTATAACTGATTGTTGTTACATAGTCAGGGGATTTGAGTCATTATTAGAAAACATATGGAGGGAGTGGACTGTGATCAGTGTCAGCCTCAGACTATATTTTTTCTTTGAAGATGTTCCCAATTTTGCCATCAATGTCATGGTCCTATCATGACCAACAGTACTCTAAGTAATGTACTGGCAGAATGAAATTAGACCAAGAAATAATTTAGAAGGTGCACCTAACTCGATGTCATGTCAATGTCCCATCAGTCATTGCGTAGCAAGACAAATTGGTGTATTTCACTCTCAGATAGATCACTCGAGCCATTTGCTCCGTTTACTTAATTTGCCAAATAAATAGGTAGGATATAGGAGTAAAGATAGAATTTATATGTTCCTTGAAACATACTTTCCCAGTTCTTTAATTTGATGGGATTAGATGGGTTTTCTCTCCTCCATCTATTCTCTATATAGCAGCCATAATGACTGAAGGAGGAGGAGGAGGAGGGGGAGAGGTGGGAGATAGGAAGGAAGAGGAAGAAGAGAAGAAGAAAATGGCTGTTGTTTCAGGTTGCTCCTCTGCTCAGATTCCTCCGTGACTTCCTATCTAACCCAGAGTAAAACCCTGCTTGATTTGGCCTCTACCCCTGACCATCCCCGTCCCCTTGTCCTCTTACTGTCCCCTGTGCCAGCTCTCTGTTCCACCTGGTGGCCTCCTTGCTGCTCCTCAAATGTGCCAACATGTTCTTAGCATGTTTTCATTTTCCTGGGATGCTTGACTCCGAGATATCCTCATAACTTCTTCCTTCTTTTCTATAAGGTTGCTCCTTAAAAGTCACCTTATTAGAGAGGCCTTCACTGGCCACCCTA